ACCGCGGCCGGGGGGGGCTCGGGCCCGGGGCCGGGGGGGGGGGGAGAGAGAGGCTGGAAGCGACCGAGCCTCCTGGCCCTTCCCTGGGAGTAAGCAACGCCGAATTCCCACGCCCGGGGGTGGGTGTCGTCTCTGCGGGGGACCCCGCGGACCCTTCCGAGCCGAGGCTGGGGGACAGGAAGGAGCAGCCCCCGGCCCGGACGGGCCCTCGGGCAGGATGGGGGGGGGCGGCAAGGAGGCCCGGACGGCAGGCGCCCGCAAGGAAAGGGGGAGCCCGCTTCTTCCCTCCTAGACCGAGGGGAACGCAAGCTTGAAGAGGAGGCGCAACCGGAGGGAAAAGAAAGAAGAAAGGGGGGGGGGCTGCACCGCGAAGGGAAGCGGTGCCAAAGCTGCTGCTTATATATACTGTTGTTGTTGTTTAGTCGTTTACTCATGTCCGACTCTTTGTGACCCCAAGAACTAGAGCACACCAGGCCCTCCTGTCTTCCACTGCCTCCCGGAGTTGGGTCAAAGTCATGTTGGTCTCTTCGATGACCCTGTCCAGCCATCTCCTCCTCTCTCGGCCCCTTCTCCTCTTCCCAACATCACCGCCTTCACACTTTCCCAACATCAAGGTCTTTTCCAGGGAGTCTTCTCTTCTCATTAGATGGCCAAAGTACTGGAGCCTCAGCTTCAGGATCTGTCCTTCCAGTGAACCCTCAGGGTTGATTTCCTTCAAAATGGATAAGTTTGTTCTCCTTGCAGTCCAGGGGCCTCTCAAGAGCCTCCTCCATCACCACAATTCAAAAGCATCAAGAAGTCAGCCTTCTTTATGGTCCAGCTCTCACTTCCAGACATTGCTACTGGAAAAAACATGGCTTTGACTATGCGCACCTTTGTCGGCAAGGTGAGGTCTCTGCTTTTTAAGATGCTGTCAAGGTTTGTCATCACTTTCCTCCCAAGAAGAAGGTGTCTTTTAATTTAATGGCTGCTGTCACCATCTGCAGTGATCATGGAGCCCAAGAAAGTAAAATCTGTCACTACCTCCATATCTTCCCCTTCTATTTGCCAGGAGGTGATGGGACCAGTTGTGAAGGCAAGAGGAGGAGAGAGGAGAAGGGGACGACAGAGGATGAGATAGCTGGACAGTGTCACCGAAGCAACCAACATGAATCTGACCCAACTCTGGGAGGCAGTGGAAGATAGGAGGGCCTGGCGTGCTCTGGTCTATGGGGGCACGAAGAGGTGGACACGACTAAACGAACGAACGAACGATGGGACCAGTGGCCATGATCTTAAGTTTTTTGATGTTGAGTTTCAGGCCGTTTTTTGCACTCTCCTCTTTCACCCTCATTACAAGGTTCTTTAGTTCCTCCTCACTTTCCGCCATCAGAGTGGTATCATCTGCATATCGGAGGTTGTTGATATTTCTTCCGGCAATCTTAATTCCAGTTTGGGATTCCTCCAGTCCAGCCTTTCGCATGATGTATTCTGCATAGAAGTTGAATAAGCAGGGGGACAATATACAGCCTTGTCCTACTCCTTTCCCAATTTTGAACCAATCAGTGTTTCCGTATCCAATATATACTGTACCCCCTCCATAGCGCTTAAAGCACTGGGGGGGGGAGCGGCGGTTTGCCATTTAATTAGGCAGGCGGCCCATTGCACGCACGCACCCTCCAGCGAGCTGGGTCCTCCCTTGCCGGACTTTGGACGGCTGAATGAACGAACCTCCAAGAAGCCATCAGGCCCTCGGGATCAAACCGGTCGTGAGCCGTCTTGGCTGCCCTGCTTGCTGCTCAGTATTAACCGCTGCCCCTTCGAGGCTTCTAAGGACCAGAAGCGCATTTACAGTATAGTGCTCCCTGAGCTGTTGGAGGGGCACCTGTTTCTGCGGAGAGGCGGGCAGGCGACAATGCAAGATGCCGGTTGGAGCCCTTTCTTGTCAGGCGCTGCCAAGTCATCTTGCACTTCTGGCGACCTGCCGCCTCATGATCAGCCCTACTCGGGTGTTGCAAATTCAAGGTTGCGGCTGCTCTTACGGGCCAGGCGGCTAGGCAGGATGGGGCTGGACGCCAGGTTGGCCTGCAGGTCAGGACCTCGGTGGCCCCGAACTCAGGAAGGGCTCGGGCGCAATGGGCTCAGGCGGATTAGCCAGGCGGAGCCTGCAGGTGCCCCCTCCTCCCCCCCCAGGCATACAGCGGCCCCTCCGGGCTGGGAGATCCGCCCTTGCCGGCCTTCACGGAGGAGAGGGGGCGCCGGCGACCCAAGGCGCTTGCCCTGCCTGCCTGCCTGCCAGGGTGCCGGTTCTCGCCAGATGGGAGCGTCTGGCGCTGCGCTCAGGGCCCAAGGTTCTCTTGCACCGCGGCCAGGCAGCCGAAGGAGAGAAAAGGTGCCGGCCGCCTTCCCATCCTCCCCCGCCCCCGCCTTGTTCACCCCTCGCCTTTACGCACCTGTGCGATGCCTGCCTTGGGAGGCACTGAAGCCTGGTTGTATTGCCCGAGGGATGCTTTGAAAATGGACACCACGCTGTTTGCCACAAGCAAGCCCGGTTTCTGACAGGGCACAACATTCCTCACCACAGCAGCACATCTGCTTGTGCAGCTTGGACTCCCTGCCTTGCCTCTTGAGGAGGGAAGGAACAGGAAAGAGGGTGGTTGGG